TGTTGGCTACAGACTGGGGCCGGACAGACGCTCGTGTATAGGTGGGTGGTTGTGTCTGTAATGTTGGCTACAGACCGGGCCCGGACAGACGCTCGTGTATAGGTGGGTGTTTGTGTCTGTGATGTTGGCTACAGACTGGGCCCGGACAGACGCTCGTGTATAGGTGGGTGGTTGTGTCTGTAATGTTGGCTATAGACTGGGGCCGGACAGACGCTCGTGTATAGGTGGGTTGTTGTGTCTGTAATGTTGGCTACAGACTGGGCCCGGACAGACGCTCGTGTGTAGGTGGGTGGTTGTGTCTTGTATGTTGGCTACAGACTGGGGCCGGACAGACGCTCTGTGTATAGGTGGGTGGTTGTGTCTGTAATGTTGGCTACAGACGGGCCGGACAGACGCTCGTGTATAGGTGGGTGGTTGTGTCTGTAATGTTGGCTATAGACTGGGGCCAGACAGACGCTCGTGTATAGGTGGGTTGTTGTGTCTGTAATGTTGGCTACAGACTGGGGCCGGACAGACGCTCTTGTATAGGTGAGTGGTTGTGTCTGTGATGTTGGCTACAGACTGGGCCCGGACAGACGCTCGTGTATAGGTGGGTGGTTGTGTCTGTAATGTTGGCTACAGACTGGGCCCGGACAGACGCTCGTGTATAGGTGGGTGGTTGTGTCTGTAATGTTGGCTACAGACTGGGGCCGGACAGACGCTCGTGTATAGGTGGGTGGTTGTGTCTGTAATGTTGGCTACAGACGGGCCCGGACAGACGCTCGTGTATAGGTTGGTGGTTGTGTCTGTAATGTTGGCTATAGACTGGGGCCAGACAGACGCTCGTGTATAGGTGGGTTGTTGTGTCTGTAATGTTGGCTACAGACTGGGGCCGGACAGACGCTCGTGTATAGGTGAGTGGTTGTGTCTGTGATGTTGGCTACAGACTGGGCCCGGACAGACGCTCGTGTATAGGTGGGTTGTTGTGTCTGTAATGTTGGCTACAGACTGGGCCCGGACAGACGCTCGTGTATAGGTGGGTGGTTGTGTCTGTAATGTTGGCTACAGACTGGGGCCGGACAGACGCTCGTGTATAGGTGGGTTGTTGTGTCTGTAATGTTGGCTACAGACGGGCCGGACAGACGCTCGTGTATAGGTGGGTGGTTGTGTCTGTAATGTTGGCTATAGACTGGGGCCAGACAGACGCTCGTGTATAGGTGGGTTGTTGTGTCTGTAATGTTGGCTACAGACTGGGCCCGGACAGACGCTCGTGTATAGGTGAGTGGTTGTGTCTGTAATGTTAGCTAGAGACTGGGGCCAGACAGACGCTCGTGTATAGGTAGGTGGTTGTGTCTAATGTTGGCTACAGACGCTCGTGTATAGGTGGGTGGTTGTGTCTAATGTTGGCTACAGATTGGGCCCGGACAGACGCTCGTGTATAGGTGGGTGGTTGTGTCTGTAATGTTGGCTACAGACGGGCCGGACAGACGCTCGTGTTCAGGTGGGTGGTTGTGTCTGTGATGTTGGCTACAGACTGGGCCCGGACAGACGCTCGTGTATAGGTGGTGGTTGTGTGCAATGTTGCCTACCGACTGGTCCCGGACAGACGCTCGTGTACAGGTGGGTGGTTGTGTCTGTGATGTTGGCTACAGACTGGGCCGGACAGACGCTCGTGTATAGGTGAGTGGTTGTGTCTGTAATGTTGGCTACAGACGGGCCGGACAGACGCTCGTGTATAGGTGGGTGGTTTTGTCTGTAATGTTGGCTACAGACTGGGCCCGGACAGACGCTCGTGTATAGGTGGGTGGTTGTGTCTGTAATGTTGGCTACAGACCGGGCCCGGACAGACGCTCGTGTATAGGTGGGTGTTTGTGTCTGTGATGTTGGCTACAGACTGGGGCCGGACAGACGCTCGTGTATAGGTGGGTGGTTGTGTCTGTGATGTTGGCTACAGACCGGGCCCGGACAGACGCTCGTGTACAGGTGGGTGGTTGTGTCTGTAATGTTGGCTACAGACTGGGCCCGGACAGACGCTCGTGTATAGGTGGGTGGTTGTGTCTGTAATGTTGGCTACAGACTGGGCCCGGACAGACGCTCGTGTACAGGTGGGTGGTTGTGTCTGTAATGTTGGCTACAGACGGGCCGGACAGACGCTCGTGTACAGGTGGGTGGTTGTGTCTGTAATGTTGGCTACAGACTGGGCCCGGACAGGCGCTCGTGTATAGGTGAGTGGTTGTGTCTGTAATGTTGGCTACAGACTGGGGCCGGACAGACGCTCGTGTATAGGTGAGTGGTTGTGTCTGTAATGTTGGCTACAGACGGGCCGGACAGACGCTCGTGTACAGGTGGGTTGTTGTGTCTGTAATGTTGGCTACAGACTGGCCCGGACAGACGCTCGTGAATAGGTGGGTGGTTGTGTCTGTAATGTTGGCTACAGACTGTGCCCGGACAGACGCTCGTGAATAGGTGGGTGGTTGTGTCTGTAATGTTGGCTACAGACCGGGCCCGGACAGACGCTCGTGTATAGGTGGGTGGTTGTGTCTGTAATGTTGGCTACAGACTGGGCCCGGACAGACGCTCGTGTATAGGTGGGTGGTTGTGTCTGTAATGTTGGCTACAGACCGGGCCCGGACAGACGCTCGTGTATAGGTGGGTGGTTGTGTCTGTGATGTTGGCTACAGACTGGGCCCGGACAGACGCTCGTGTATAGGTGGGTGGTTGTGTCTGTAATGTTGGCTACAGACCGGGCCCGGACAGACGCTCGTGTATAGGTGGGTGGTTGTGTCTGTGATGTTGGCTACAGACTGGGCCCGGACAGACGCTCGTGTATAGGTGGGTGGTTGTGTCTGTAATGTTGGCTATAGACTGGGGCCGGACAGACGCTCGTGTATAGGTGGGTGGTTGTGTCTGTAATGTTGGCTACAGACTGGGGCCCGGACAGACGCTCGTGTATAGGTGGGTGGTTGTGTCTTTGATGTTGGCTACAGACTGGGGCCGGACAGACGCTCGTGTATAGGTGGGTTGTTGTGTCTGTAATGTTGGCTACAGACGGGCCGGACAGACGCTCGTGTATAGGTTGGTGGTTGTGTCTGTAATGTTGGCTATAGACTGGGGGCCAGACAGACGCTCGTGTATAGGTGGGTGGTTGTGTCTGTAATGTTGGCTACAGACTGGGGCCGGACAGACGCTCTTGTATAGGTGAGTGGTTGTGTCTTTGATGTTGGCTACAGACTGGGCCCGGACAGACGCTCGTGTATAGGTGGGTTGTTGTGTCTGTAATGTTGGCTACAGACTGGGCCCGGACAGACGCTCGTGTGTAGGTGGGTGGTTGTGTCTTTGATGTTGGCTACAGACTGGGGCCGGACAGACGCTCGTGTATAGGTGGGTTGTTGTGTCTGTAATGTTGGCTACAGACGGGCCGGACAGACGCTCGTGTATAGGTTGGTGGTTGTGTCTGTAATGTTGGCTACAGACTGGGGCCAGACAGACGCTCGTGTATAGGTGGGTTGTTGTGTCTGTAATGTTGGCTACAGACTGGGGCCGGACAGACGCTCTTGTATAGGTGAGTGGTTGTGTCTTTGATGTTGGCTACAGACTGGGCCCGGACAGACGCTCGTGTATAGGTGGGTGGTTGTGTCTGTAATGTTGGCTACAGACTGGGCCCGGACAGACGCTCGTGTGTAGGTGGGTGGTTGTGTCTTTAATGTTGGCTACAGACTGGGGCCGGACAGACGCTCGTGTATAGGTGGGTGGTTGTGTCTGTAATGTTGGCTACAGACTGGGCCCGGACAGACGCTCGTGTATAGGTGAGTGGTTGTGTCTGTAATGTTAGCTAGAGACTGGGGCCAGACAGACGCTCGTGTATAGGTAGGTGGTTGTGTCTAATATTGGCTACAGACGCTCGTGTATAGGTGTATAGTGGTTGTGTCTGTAATGTTGGCTACAGATTGGGCCCGGACAGACGCTCGTGTATAGATGAGTGGTTGTGTCTGTGATGTTGGCTACAGACGGGCCGGACAGACGCTCGTGTATCAGGTGGGTGGTTGTGTCTGTGATGTTGGCTACAGACTGGGCCCGGACAGACGCTCGTGTATAGGTGTGGTGGTTGTGTCTGCAATGTTGGCTACAGACTGGGCCCGGACAGACGCTCGTGTATAGGTGGGTGGTTGTGTCTGTGATGTTGGCTACAGACTGGGCCCGGACAGACGCTCGTGTATAGGTGGAGTGGTTGTGTCTGTAATGTTGGCTACAGACGGGCCGGACAGACGCTCGTGTACAGGTGGGTGGTTGTGTCTGTAATGTTGGCTACAGACGGGCCCGGACAGACGCTCGTGTATAGGTGGGTGGTTGTGTCTGTAATGTTGGCTACAGACTGTGCCCGGACAGGCGCTCGTGAATAGGTGGAGTGGTTGTGTCTGTAATGTTGGCTACAGACTGGGGCCGGACAGACGCTCGTGTATAGGTGAGTGGTTGTGTCTGTAATGTTGGCTACAGACTGGGCCCGGACAGACGCTCGTGTATAGGTGGGTGGTTGTGTCTGTAATGTTGGCTACAGACCGGGCCCGGACAGACGCTCGTGTATAGGTGGGTGTTTGTGTCTGTGATGTTGGCTACAGACTGGGGCCGGACAGACGCTCGTGTATAGGTGGGTGGTTGTGTCTGTAATGTTGGCTACAGACCGGGCCCGGACAGACGCTCGTGTATAGGTGGGTGTTTGTGTCTGTGATGTTGGCTACAGACTGGGCCCGGACAGACGCTCGTGTATAGGTGGGTGGTTGTGTCTGTAATGTTGGCTATAGACTGGGGCCGGACAGACGCTCGTGTATAGGTGGGTTGTTGTGTCTGTAATGTTGGCTACAGACTGGGCCCGGACAGACGCTCGTGTGTAGGTGGGTGGTTATGTCTTTGATGATGGCTACAGACTGGGGCCGGACAGACGCTCGTGTATAGGTGGGTGGTTGTGTGTCTGTACATATGTTGATAAGAATGTATGATTACAAAATGATTGTGTTTATTTCCAGACATAGACGAGTGTAAGGAGCGGCATGGTGGATGTACTAACTTACAACACTGTATCAACATGCCGGGTGGCAACCAGTGCGTCAGTAGGGAGGTGGGAAGGGCAGCTGCCAAGGCATCAGGTCAGGTGTAATCGCGCTGTCATTTCAGGCAGGGTAAGGGGCGGTGGGGTTGAGTTGTGTTGAAAGCGTTCGCTCCTCACGGCGAATACCCAGACTCGACAGTCAGTACCGTTTTCATTATCATTGTCACTCCGAGAAAACCCCAAACTAAACAGGTGTAGATGGACATATGGTGAAGATCTGTAACGGATAGAAAGTCCTCGTGCATCGATAGCGTGCATCGTTTCTTGTCGTGTCAGTCACTGCTTAACGTGGTACAGACTCGATTATTTACAGGCTCCCCGTATAGTATAAAGCAAAATATTGTGGATGTCAACTTCTATATTCTATACACAACGTTTTTATGCTTTTCCAGTAGTGTGAGGAGCTGCAATTCACCTTGGGCACGCCAGGAACCCATTGTCAAGGGTTCGAAACTCAGTTCGCCCCGAGTAGGTTTCTATATTTGTCGTCATGCCCAGTCCTAGTGCGTTTCACCACGATATGACTGGAATAGTGTTCAAAGCAGAGTTAAACCCAACTCACTCACTCACTCACTCACGCAGTCACTCACTATAACCTTCCTCTGTTGTTATTTCAGCCTCCACCCAAGCAGTATGTGAAAAGTACGAGGGGATTTTAAGCCGGTCAACAGTTATTGGACTCATCGTTTGGCTTATCTTCCTCAGTCTTCTGCTATTCCTCATTCTAGCTTGCCTTTTCGCAAGAAAGGGGCGACGCAGTCGGGACGAGAGGCGTTATAACGAGGGAACCTGGGAGACAAAGTCTCACAGAAGTGCCTACTCAAACAGAGGGCCTGAAGTCAATTATTATTAAGCCTTATATAACAATAAGGTATAAATAGTAGGACTCGAGTGTTGTGACATGTACATAATAACATATCATAGTTATACATAAAACTATTTATATTTTTGTCTTGCCGTCGTGTTATTTGTTATTATGGTATGTGTGGGTGTGCGAGTAGGTAGGTACATTTAAGCACCATGAATCGGGAATTCCCCTGTATCTGACATTATGTAAAGGATAAAACACGACTCCGAGGGATTTTCCCGACTCCAAGGGTTTACATTTGCTACCAAAACCTCGGAGTCGTGTTTTATCCGACTTATGAACCGTCATGAATGTAAAACACTAATATGTATTATAATCCATTTGTGCAAATGTTTTGTGTACCTGTACCTGATTGAACAGCCCGCAAATGATGGAACAGCAGGTGTCAACTGGGATGCGACTGGCAGAAAACCCCTTGGTTAATCCTTCCGCCCGTATCCCCCTAGATTTTAACGATAAGGCAAAATTTCTTTGAGTGGCATTTTTAGAAGTAGAATATGTCTTTCAGTATGTTCAGATACAATTAAAGAAACATGTTAAAACTCATCCTTATAAGATGAGGAATATATATTCAGGTGATATGATTTGACTAGAATGAAATTTAAGGGGGGATACGGGCGGAAGTCTTTCCCCAGTGGTTTCGCCATGACGGCGCCAGACAGTGGTGGACGGCATGGCAGTGACGATCCACGCCGTCAACGTTCGCTGATGCAAAATCAGCATCCAGTAATGTCATGCTCGGGGCTGGTAGTAAGCTTATGTACAATACTGGCTTATGTACAATACTCTTCTTGATGCTTGTATTTATTTTATAGTTGATTCCTCGGGATAGACTTTGAAATCGGCTGGTGATAAATGTTTCATATTACTCTATCATATAGCGTGGTGGATAGAAATGACGGATCCACAGCTCCATGTAGTTCTAATAACTTTGGAAGAATATATATTGCTCATGCAAGGAACACTTTTGAAAGCTTACACTGTACTTATTTGTTGAACATATAGCTTCACGAAATCATGGTCTGTGACTGCAAATGTTCATGCATATACCCGATCTTATACTGTGTTAGTCCACTTTGACACGAGCAGTGAGTGGGTCGTCAAGGTACAATCCACAACCAGACATTAACTCACTTGTGCCCGATCCATGTTTCCTCACAATAATGTTTAAAACAAATCCACCCTATCGCTCGTATAGTTGTTTGCATGCTTGTATAAAAGTATTTCTCCGATACCGTTACTAACTGCAGTGTATGCGGTGCCCTTATTGAAAGCACGGCGCATTCGTATGAATTGTAAGTCAATTTGACCAAGACCTAAGTTTCAGGTTTAGCAATCATCTGATGTCGATCCATTATGTTAACCATGGATACTGTCAGTGTCTTCCACTAATTTACCCACGGGACCTGGAAGTGATGGATACCAGTAAAACTGCCTCGTCGGTTTCGTCATTCAAGCAAAGCATGAAGAACAATATCCACAAGAGGGATGACTTCAACTTTCCCTTTCAGTCAATCGATATTCTTGCAGCAGCCTGTGGTGTTAACATCTCGCGTCTTGTGCTACAAACGGACATGCCCTTTCCACGAAGATTTCAAAGAGTTCCATGCGTCTTGTACTGAAGATGGCCCATTAGTGTTTCCCCAGGTTAAAGGCAGGCGACAGAATTTCAAAAGGTTCACCCTTATTCCAAAATGGACATGTAATGACGGATTTCCAATTTGAAGTACTATGCTAAGAATAATATATGCATAAGTGTTAATATCAATTATTGTATTAAACAGAAGGGCTGGGCGCTGTGCCCTGCTAAAACTGCCTTGGGAAATAGTACCAGTAACTGACTAAATGATGACTGTGAGTTCCTATTTGGCTTGCACAATGATCAGATGTTCCCGTTCATTTTTCTTCATGTAACTAATTAACTATTTTAGAAAGGCCATTATTCATCTGCCTGGAAATCGGTAAACATCATCGTTACATCATTCCGCATAAGGGTTATTTGTTGAAGTGACCAATTCAAAGACCCTTTGCCAGCTTCAACAAGAATGCTTTGATGGATGCGATTCTCTGTCCTGTGATTAGACATTTCTTTGTGGCGACCGTCCTTCCAACAACCCTCTCCACGTTTCAATGGGAGTACTGCATTTTTCAGCTTTTGCGATCTCATACTTCACTTGAACAAGAAAACTAAAGCTGTTATCATCTGCACTCTTCAAAGACAAGCTGGGACCATGACAGGTCGTCATACAACATTCAGTACATGCATGGCGGACTAAAGAACCTTTTATGTAATAAATGCTGAACATCAACAAACCGTTGACAGAGAAATTCATAACGACGAAACCATTTAGTGTAACAAGCATATATGTGCGTTGCCATTCTATCTATTCCCAATTTTCGTTCACCATAATATCAACACTCAATGCATCTATAAAGACGGCCCAAGGTTATGATTTGCCTTCAGCAACCCATGTGTTATCGTATCCCAGTTGCGTCGACAATGCTCTTGATTTCAAAAACTGGATTGTCTGGTCTAGACTTCTTTGCCGACCGCTGGAATATTTCGGAGTGCGACGGCAGACAACAAAGGAACATACAGTGCAATGTTATGGACCAAACGGTTTGTTTGTTGTTTATGGCCGAACTCCAGCAATATTCCAGCTACATGGCGGCAGTCTGTAAATAATCGAGACTGGACCAGACACTCCGGTGATCGACGTAAATAATGTAACAGAACACCAACACGTTATTTACAGTTTATTTACCGCATTCATACCAAATGTCAAACAAGTAGTATACCATAAACATACGGGCGATTACAAATTCGATCTCTTCCGTTCTGTACCTCCGGCAGCCACGCCCCTCTGAACGTGGGAGTACATTTCCTCCTGACCAGCGTTGGCCTCGTCCGTGCTCATCCTCCGAGGCGTGGCAGCGTCCATATCCACTTTGTCCACACTGTGTCGCCGGTCCAAGCTTATCCGGGGAAAGAATGCTGGGTAATAAAATTCCGGTCGATGACCTCTTGGAATGACCGGTTCTCTCGGGTGTCTTTGGTTTCCTCCGGTAAGTTCCGGGATGAAGAGGATGATGGCCATGATGGTGAGGAGAGTGAGAAGAACCAACCACAGAATGAGACCAATCATCACGTGACGTGTTACCAAGGGAACGGTGGACACTGAACCTGGTTAAATAACAAAGAGAGCCTACATGAATCATAATTTACATAAAGATAATCACAAAAATGTAAATGCCAGTTAAAAATGTTCTGATTGGAGTGAGTGAGTGAGTTGTTTTACGCCGCACTCAGCGATATTCCAGCTATATGGTGGCGATTTAAATAATCGAGTCTGAACCAGACAATCCAGTGATCAACAACATGAGCAGCGATCTATGCAATTGGGAACCGATGACATGTGTCAACCAAGTCAGCGAGCCTGAAAACCCGATCCCGTTAGTCGCCTCTTACAAGCATGGGTTTCAGTAACCCATTCAATTTTAAGATCAATTCTAACCCGGATCTTCACATGTGATCTGATTTGGAAAGTGTTCACCTAATATTTTGCAAATACCATTCACTTCTTTATACCGAATGTACGTCTCGTGTCCTTAATTTCTCCCATCAGACGACGACAGTGTTGTCATCCCACCGCTACGTTTTAAACAACTAATCCCGCCATCCGATTCTTAAGAACAGGGACTAAAAGCCACAGCTAACAAGCAACAATCTTCGTCATCAATGACAGCATTCATCATAAACAGCTCAAACTGAATGTGGACTAGGTGGTCGAAATTAAGGCTGTAACGATGCATCGAACTATCGATGGATTGCAATTAATCGATGGTAGAAACGAAACCCATCGATGCATCGATAGTATGTGTAACTATCGATAGTTTAATAACTGACTTGCGTTGCTAAATTCTCAATCCAAATGGGTATTTGGATGGTTATTTATTTCTATTAAATATTTATGTTTGGTATTTTTTTTTTTCATTGTTTGGGTGCAGACTTGCTCTTTTATTGGGTTTATGTTTTAACTGTTTACTTGATCTGGGTTTCAACGCTTGTCAGTTATAAAAAGAGACTGAAACTACTTCAACTTGTTTTTATTTGATATAAACTAGACATTTAAATTAGACAATTCAAGGAGAAAAAAACTATTGCAATAGTTGATCGCAACAGACTATCGATATCGCGATAGCATGTTGCAATAGACTACCCCTATCGCAATAGTTGTTTCCCCCTCAATAGTCACCCCTAGTCAAAATGTGCGACCATCAAATGTGATCCCGTAACCAGTTGGCGCGGACCAAGTTCATGTCGTCAGACAAAGGTTTGCTGGCTAAGACTCGCAACCCTCAGTGGCCTTGGTTTAAGCAACATGCACCCATTTGCTCTGATCTCAATGGCATCTCTACACCGTCAGTGTAATATTCAATGGAATCATATTCATATTTAAGTGAATCTTGCCGAAGCAAAACAGTGATAGAAACTAAGCGTGTTTAGCAACGATCTGTGCAATCGATCTATTCCATATTGGTAACCTTCCGATCTTTTTTTTGGCGGACTCTCACGAAAACATATTGTGCACTGAGATCTAATCTCCGTATGCCTACAAAAATCTTACTCATGAGACGCGCCACGAAGGACTCCTCCTCCCAGGGTCCGGCACAGTAGTAGTCCCCCCAGGTGTTGATGCACGTCTGACCCGCACTACACCGGCTCCCGCTGTGCTTACACTCGTCCACGTCTGGTCAACATATAATAGGAATATCGTGAAGTAATCTGATAAGTGAGTGAGTTGGATTTAACGCTGATTTGAGCAATTTGTAACAGCTTCATAACCCAGGTCCCTAATAACAGCATGTTTGATTTATTTATGTCAGCAACCTCTCAGATCAAGTGTTTATGAAATCTTTTGAACACATTAAAGCATTTAGGACAATACAAACCAGATGCATTAACGGACATTAGCTAACCATACACCTGTGCCCAAACAACTTTGACGGTGGTTTGTCACTACAGAGCTACGGGCTATAACATATCAAAATTCAAAATAATTCCAAAATTACCGTTTTAATAAACAAATTGTTCCGATGTCAAATGTGACGTCCAACTAGTTTGAGACTCACCATTACACCTGTACTGATCCTTGGACAACACCAGACCGAGAGGACAGTCACACCGGAAGCTACCGTCTGTGTTGATACAGTAGTGTTGACACATGCCGTTCCTGAAGAAGCACTCGTCGATGTCTGAAACAGAGGAACCCTTCACACGATGTAGTCATTGAAGATCCAGGTTAGAATTGATGTTCAGCAACCCATGCTTGTCGAAAGAAGCGGCTAATGGGATCGGGTGGTCAGGCTCGTTGACTTGGTTGACACATGTCATCGTATCCCAATTTCGTATAACGATGCTCATGATTTTGATCACTGGATTGTCTGGTTCAGACTCGATTATTTATAGACCACCGCCATATTCTACAGGTCCCTTCTTGACAACAAAACTTGCCTGTTATAGAGTTAAAGCACTACCCTTTCTTTGATCCGAAAAATTACACCATGTATGATGTGCCTATCTTAAAGTTTCAAAGTTGGGTCCCGACCGGATGTCATGTGTTTTCGCGTGGGAGCATCTTGTCGAACTTTGGACTCTCAGCTGGGCCTTTCTGTAACTCCCCAGCCTGGGTGGTGATGTTAGAATTCTGGAACTACTGATAAGTCAAGCGAATGATCTGTTCTATGATGGAGAATAGTCTACCGTTGAAGAATTGATGACCAGTGTTGGGATCGTGCTGCATGCTTCTCTTCCCCGGAATGTTCTGACGTATCTGCTGTATGAGATAGCTGCTCTACTTCAGTCGACACTTGGCCAACATCCACCACACTTGGAGTGACTGGAGTCGCTTAATGGAGTTGGAATGTTTGGAGGGGAATGTAAAACAGTTAACACGCCGGATGGCGATGGAGAATCCTTCTCCCCAAATACGTTTTTAGGCTAACTACTTAAATAAGGGCAAATATCCGGCTTCTTCCAAACGCGTAACCTGTAATTTCTATTCTCGGACGATGGATCAGAAGTTTATCTTCATCTGGACTCAGGGTGAAGAAGTGATGTTCACTGCATGGTTAGTTGTATTAGTGCCGGGTTGGGTTTGCGCCTCAACAATAGGATGTTGCCAGATATATGGCGGCAATCTGTAAATAACCGAGTCTTGGCCAGACAATCCAGTGATTAAGCATGAGCATCGTTCTACGCAATGGAATACGATGACAAGGTCAGCGACCCTGACAACCCGATACCGTTAGTCGCCTGTAACGAGGGGTTGAGGACCAATCCTATCGCGGATCTTCACGGGTTATTACAGATATTAGCCATGGTGTAATAGAGGCTGTATTCTGTATCAAAGTTATTGCAGATATTAGCCATGGTGTAATAGAGGCTGTATTCTGTATCAAAGTTATTACAGATATTAGCCATGGTGTAATAGAGGCTGTATTCTGTATCAAAGTTATTACAGATATTAGCCATGGTGTAATAGAGGCTGTATTCTGTATCAAAGTTATTACAGATATGAGCCAAGGTGTAATAGAGGCTGTATTCTGTATCAAAGTTATTACAGATATTAGCCATGGTGTAATAGAGGCTGTATTCTGTATCAAAGTTATTGCAGATATTAGCCATGGTGTAATAGAGGCTGTATTCTGTATCAAAGTTATTACAAATATTAGCCATGGTGTAATAGAGGCTGTATTCTGTATCAAAGTTATTGCAGATATTAGCCATGGTGTAATAGAGGCTGTATTCTGTATCAAAGTTATTACAAATATTAGCCATGGTGTAATAGAGGCTGTATTCTGTATCAAAGTTATTACAGATATTAGCCATGGTGTAATAGAGGCTGTATTCTGTATCAAAGTTATTACAGATATTAGCCATGGTGTAATAGAGGCTGTATTCTGTATCAAAGTTATTACAAATATTAGCCATGGTGTAATAGAGGCTGTATTCTGTATCAAAGTTATTACAGATATTAGCCATGGTGTAATAGAGGCTGTATTCTGTATCAAAGTTATTACAAATATTAGCCATGGTGTAATAGAGGCTGTATTCTGTATCAAAGTTATTACAGATATTAGCCATGGTGTAATAGAGGCTGTATTCTGTATCAAAGTTATTACAAATATTAGCCATGGTGTAATAGAGGCTGTATTCTGTATCAAAGTTATTACAGATATTAGCCATGGTGTAATAGAGGCTGTATTCTGTATCAAAGTTATTACAGATATTAGCCATGGTGTAATAGAGGCTGTATTCTGTATCAAAGTTATTACAAATATTAGCCATGGTGTAATAGAGGCTGTATTCTGTATCAAAGTTATTACAAATATTAGCCATGGTGTAATAGAGGCTGTATTCTGTATCAAAGTTATTACAGATATTAGCCATGGTGTAATAGAGGCTGTATTCTGTATCAAACTTATTACAGATATTAGCCATGGTGTAATAGAGGCTGTATTCTGTATCAAAGTTATTACAGATATTAGCCATGGTGTAATAGAGGCTGTATTCTGTATCAAAGTTATTACAAATATTAGCCATGGTGTAATAGAGGCTGTATTCTGTATCAAAGTTATTACAGATATTAGCCATGGTGTAATAGAGGCTGTATTCTGTATCAAAGTTATTACAGATATTAGCCATGGTGTAATAGAGGCTGTATTCTGTATCAAAGTTATTACAGATATTAGCCATGGTGTAATAGAGGCTGTATTCTGTATCAAAGTTATTACAGATATTAGCCATGGTGTAATAGAGGCTGTATTCTGTATCAAACTTATTACAGATATTAGCCATGGTGTAATAGAGGCTGTATTCTGTATCAAAGTTATTACAGATATTAGCCATGGTGTAATAGAGGCTGTATTCTGTATCAAAGTTATTACACATATTAGCCATGGTGTAATAGAGGCTGTATTCTGTATCAAAGTTATTACAAATATTAGCCATGGTGTAATAGAGGCTGTATTCTGTATCAAAGTTAATACACATATTAGCCATGGTGTAATAGAGGCTGTATTCTGTATCAAAGTTATTACAAATATTAGCCATGGTGTAATAGAGGCTGTATTCTGTATCAAAGTTATTACAGATATTAGCCATGGTGTAATAGAGGCTGTATTCTGTATCAAAGTTATTACAGATATTAGCCATGGTGTAATAGAGGCTGTATTCTGTATCAAAGTTATTACAGATATTAGCCATGGTGTAATAGAGGCTGTATTCTGTATCAAAGTTATTACAGATATTAGCCATGGTGTAATAGAGGTTGTATTCTGTATCAAAGTTATTACAGATATTAGCCATGGTGTAATAGAGGCTGTATTCTGTATCAAAGTTATTACAGATATTAGCCATGGTGTAATAGAGGCTGTATTCTGTATCAAAGTTATTACAGATATTAGCCATGGTGTAATAGAGGCTGTATTCTGTATCAAAGTTATTACAGATATTAGCCATGGTGTAATAGAGGCTGTATTCTGTATTAAAGTTATTACAGATATTAGCCATGGTGTAATAGAGGCTGTATTCTGTATCAAAGTTATTACAGATATTAGCCATGGTGTAATAGAGGTTGTATTCTGTAATAAAGTTATTACAGATATTAGCCATGGTGTAATAGAGGCTGTATTCTGTATCAAAGTTATTACAGATATTAGCCATGGTGTAATAGAGGCTGTATTCTGTATCAAAGTTATTACAGATATTAGCCATGGTGTAATAGAGGCTGTATTCTGTATCAAAGTTATTACAAATATTAGCCATGGTGTAATAGAGGCTGTATTCTGTATCAAAGTTATTACAGATATTAGCCATGGTGTAATAGAGGCTGTATTCTGTATCAAAGTTATTACAGATATTAGCCATAGTGTAATAGAGGCTGTATTCTGTATTAAAGGACACAGACTCTACACACAGTACCATGTTGTTAGTCCACCCATGGATCCTTACTGTCGTAGCTGATTTACCCTTGGCACTTGTTAACACTTCACCTACCAATACACTTATAGCCATCCTTCAACCGAAATCCTGGTCTGCAGGTACATGTTGCCTTCATACCGTTACTCGTACATTCCTGCTCACATGTCACGTTGATCTGCTTGCATAGTTCTGAAAAATAACACCTAACCATAGTGAGTTTTACGTTGTTTCAGTAATATTTGAGTTTATACAGCACGGCGGTCATACCAGAAATGGGCTTCACACATTGTACCCATGAGGGGAATCGAACCCGGGTGTTTGGCGTGACGAGCAGACATTTTACCCACTAGGCTACCCCACGTCCGTGCCCATGCAAGGGATGGAATGTTGTTATTCGAACCTGTGCCGTCATCCTGGTGATTGAACGCTTTAACCACTAGGCTACCTCACAGTCGTAAGGTCAGTCATGTGAAAGCGGTATATTTAATATTTTTGAGCACCGTTAGCTATGAAAAGTTACTATGAATTGTGCAAGGAAAACAAAAAGGGTGATCAGACAGAAAAGAACATTCATGTAAACAGACCATGACATGATTACTTCCCTGCACAACAGAAACCTGACCTAAAGCTAGAGACTCAGTCGCTATCAACACAGCATGTTCATATTTCTTACGCTGTTGGTAGAAAAGAGGAACTGCAGTTCCCCAGGAAGCCCCCTTCCGCGTACGCCCATGGCATATACATTTTAGGAATAAGCTCTTACCGTTTGGCGTCCACATGGAGCCCTGAACTCCTGGCGCCCCATCAGCGCCCTCCATGCCAGTAGGCCCGTCATCTCCCTGGGGACCAATCTCTCCTGGCATTCCTTCTGGGCCTACTTCACCTGCTGGTCCCCGTGGTCCCTGGTCGCCTTCCTCGCCCTTTGGGGAGTCGCCAGTCATGCCCTGCTGTCCTTGAGGTCCTCTTCCAGCCTTGCTTCCCATCTGTCCAAGTTGACCCTCCCTTCCTGTGTCGCCTACCATGCCCTTGTCCCCAGATTGACCAACTGTACCGACCTGACCAGAAGCTCCAGCTCCTCCTTGTGGGCCTCTCCGGCCTACGGGTCCTACCTGACCCCTGCTTCCTACAGAACCGCGTATACCTACTGGGCCGTCTGTTCCACGGTCACCCTGACAATAAACACGTTGTCATGGATACGTAGTTCAATTTATAATTAGTCGACAGCAAACACATTTAATGCAATTGGAGTACCAGTTGCATGAATGTAGACGTTGGGACCTACCTCTATAAAGAAAAACGCGTTTGGATGGTATTTTGGACATAATTAAGATGGAAAGCCAATCATAATGCATGCAAGATTATTACTGAAATAGTCATAATACTGGACATTTATACATCACATGTATCCACGCATTTATGCTTGGTCAAGGTGCTGAGACAGTATTATCAAAGCTGCCTGAGAGGTGTTAGAAGGTAAAGTCATATGACAACCCACCGATTACCCATTCACTCCTGGATGAACAGAGGCAATTTTGAACAAACGTCTTCAGCATTTTTACAACACTATTATCACAATGATTTTCATCGACTGAATGGGTATCAATGGTTAGAAACTACATGATGCTGGTATATATTAGAGGACAGTTAACAAGAGTACAACAGAGAGCACCTGCAGTCCCTGCTCCCCAGTACGCCCTTGGTCGCCTCTGACCCCACTTTCTCCCGTGGGCCCCTGCAGACCCTGTATACCCTGGATACCGGTAGCCCCGGCGGATCCTCTAGGTCCCGGTAGCACAAGGAAGGACTCTGCAAGTTGAATGAGTGAGCTAATGGTTTACTAACAGTCATATTACATCCTGGTAAATTAATGCAGAGGAGATCCCCATTGAAGATATTCACGACACTTGTATCATGCATGATCTCCGGTATGTTTGGAACAAAGATATGTCTGGTGGTGATACAAGAGCTCATGAGTCAATATAGTTTAACGGCTACACTGAACAGTACTTCACTTACGTAGCTGTGTGTCAACTTAAGGTAAGCCCGGTGATGCTAGCCTCACACGTGTTAGTGTTGCCTAGAACACGGACAGGATGCTAACAAACCAACAATCACTACGAATATGGTTGGTTGGTTGGTTATTTAATGCCGTACTCAGCACTATTCCAGCTATATGATTGTTATCTAGTCTTGAGATGACAAGACTTTATGGATGATCAACTTCTTTACTTTGACAATGGCGACGTTTCGGTATAGATTCTTATTCCGTGTTCAAGCATATGGAGGAATGGTGGGGTACACCAGTTTATATACAAGATAAGATAAAGAGATAAAAATACTGAGGATGGAAAAACAAAGCATCAAAGAAAGTTACATGATGAGCTACAATAGCATGATGAAGAGCTGAGATGATAAATGAGATGAGTGAGATTACAATTAGCGAATTTAAGTTAATTAGGCAGAAGCCAAGGTGGTGGGGAATTAATTAATGGGAAGACAGTGGTGAGGAATGTCAGTTAGGCAGGTGATGAGAAGCCAGGGTGGGTTGTAATCATGTTTGTTGTTTGTAAGTGTTTTGACAGTGTCCCAGTTGATGTTGTGTTGAGGAAATTTGGTGATGTGTTCCGAAATGGCTGATTTGGTGTCTGCTTTGTTTGTGGATGTCTTATGTTCTTTGATGCGTATGTTGAGTGGTCTGGATGTTTCACCAATGTAGTTGCTGCCACAGTCGCAGCTGATGTTGTAGACCACACCTTTAGGCTGTTGTTGTTTTGTAGTGTGTTTCCCACCGTTTGCCTCAAAGATAGTTTTGAGAGGTGTGGCCGTGGAGAAGTAAGTGTCTATGCCGCCTGCTGTTTAAGTAAGCGAGTGATGTCATGTGAAGTTTGCCGATGTAGGGTAGTGAGATGCGAATGGGAGCGGTGTCGGGCTGGCTAGTGGTGGGTTTGGGTGCTGGGGTGGAGGGTGGAGGGTGGGTGGGGGTGGAGTTGATGACACGGTCAACACGTTTAGTGGGATAGTTGACCGTGTCATCAACTCCACCCTCAACCCAACACCTAAGACTACCACTAGCAAGCCCGACTCCTCTCCCATTCGCATCTCACTACCCTACATCGGCAAGTTGATCATCCATAAAGTCTTGTCATCTCTATACCACTCAGTTCTACAATGCCAATCAAACAAATTATCTGATCTTGACAATCTGGTGATTAAAAGGTGAAAAGTTATAGATGTCAACTTGTTTGATATGCGGGACAGGACGTTTCGGAGTATATTCTTACTCCATCAGGAGTATTGATGTTCACATATAAGAATATCTTCAGAAACGTCGTGTCTCATATTACAGAAGTTCATGTCCATACAATTTCACCATTTATGTGCCCCTAAATGCCTTCAAAGACATTACTCTTGATTGAAATCATGAGCATCGATCTATGAAACTTGAATACGATGACAGTGAAGTCAGCGATCGTGACTACAGTTACTTAGTATCGCACCGTACACAAGCACGGGTTGATGGAAGCCGGATTTAAGGATTTAATTTGGGGGGGTTAAGGCACTAAGGGGGATGTCTGGGAGGGAGCGTAGGGGCGTGTGTGTGTGTGTTTGCGTGCGGGCGTGGTGTGTGTGGTGTGGTACGTCAACGTCTCGCATTTATCTCACCAACAACGGCTACCTCCACAGCAAAGAGGTACGTAGTTTGGAGGGCGCTGAAGATTTGGGTGGAGTTGACAGTGGGAGGGTTGGCGGAGAAGAAGTCATGGAAGACTGTCTGTGACCGTCTCTTGTCCGACACGAACAGGTAAGGAACACACGAGCTGGTGTCGTCCAGGGTGGTGAACCCGACCTTGTCTGCTCCAGTCACTGCGATGAGCTTAGATGAGGCAATCTAAGCAACGTAATTAGCAGAGTGAGTGAGTTAGTGAGTGAGTATGCATATCGGTTATCACAGCGAAATTTCATTCAATTAAAACCAAAATGAAGCGACACAGATAGGAAGAGAAACTTAACAACTAACGAGGACAGTTATTGTAAAATAGTTGTTTCAAATAATCTGAGGTGTATCACATACATGTACGTGAAGCCAACGCCTCCTTTAGGCTGTCAACAAATGACAAGTGCCCCTGGGCCAACAGCATGGATACCGAGAATGTAGAACATGAACGATATGAAATTAAATATAAAGTCAAGACACTGCTCATTTTACAGAAGTGGCAGTGCGGTAGCCTAGTGGTTAAAACCTTTTCTCATCAGGCCGAAGATCAAGGTTCGATTACCCACATGGGTACAATGTGTGAAGCCCATTTCTGGGGTCGCCCGCCGTAATATTGCTGGAATATTGCTACAGGCAGCGCAAAACTAAACTCACTCATGTTACAGACGACTTGTTCCCCGAGCCATGTGACGGGTACCAACTGTCATTATTCAAACTTTCATAAAACGTACATGGAAATAGCCTGTACTCTTTGACTCGAAGTTCGTCTCCCCAAGAAGCTGGTAAGACCGACCAGAAGTTGGCCTCCATATCTGTAGTCTGATTGGACAGTTCGCTTTGGCAAGTCTGACGTAATATCCGCTGACCTTGCCCTCCGTGAGCATCAGACCCTCAAGGATGATGGTGATCCTCCCTGCTGGTGCCATCTTGTCTGTGGTCAAGTGGTGACCGATCACTTCTGTTGGACGTCGGTAATGGGTGGAAAGAACAGATTGTAAGATATGACATAAATGGTTAACATTGTTTGACTGACTGTTTAACTCAGCACTCAGCAATATTCCAGCGGTCTGTTTTGACTAATTTAGTCTATAACACGATGAACATCTGTCTACGCAGCTGGGGTACGCTGGCATGCATCAGCATAATAAGTGAGCATGACCATCCGATCTCGTTAGTAGCCTCTTACGACAAGCATGGGTTGCTGAAGATCAGTTCTTACTCGGATCTTTACGGGTACGAACGGGTAAGAGCCTTGGATTTTAGTTCAACTGGCATTGGGCACTGGTCGACTGACTGACTGAGTTTGGTTTTACGCCGCTTTTAGCAATATTCCAGCAACATCACGGCGGGGGACACCAGAAAATGGGCTTCACACATTGTACCCATGTGGGGATTCGAACCCGGGTTTTCGGCGTGACGAGCCAACGCTTTAACCACTAGGCTACCCCACTGCCCCGGGCACTGGTCGAAAATGCACAAGAGTAACACCTTGACACAGTACAACAACTACCTTTCTGTTTTTCTGTGCATGTCTCACACTATGAAGAAAAGTATTTTCTAAGAAAATGTATTTTTTTCATAAGATTGATATGTTATACTTATCCCGACTCATACAATTTGCTTATCTCTTTCTTTCTCACGAGGTACAGTGGAAACCTGTCAATGTTAAAGATAGCTCACCTTAAAATTTATTGAAGGGTCCCTTTTCCCGCGCTCGTTCATCAGGACCCCACGTGACCATATGCTAGTTGCCACTCTCTCCATAAGCCAACGGTAAAATTTTAAACAAGACCAACAGTGGAGAGTGGGGACGTATTCACACGCCCTCGTGTCTTTGCCAGGATTGAAGATGTTAAAAAACCATAAAACATTTGAGATGACCCCGACTCGAAATGCTTCACGGTACAATACATTATGACCAAGCCGGACACTTCGGCGTACCCTACCTGCCTGCTTTGCCGATCGCTGCGCTACCATCACATGCAATCGAGTAAAACTTAATGTAAACATAATCATGGATGATTGGCATATCGAGCACCACTCACGACACCTACTAATTCTTTGTTATTTCTGCAAGTCGACTGAAACCCGATTTTGATCCCCAACTAAACGATCTTGATACAAATGGATGACGATGTGTCCGCACAAAACGGAGGCGTGGTCAAAGCAAGTCCTCTGGTTGGTTAATCCTTGTTTAGGAGACATTTGCAACTGATGCTTTCTTTTGAGAAGCCATTGCCCGAAAAAAGTAAGTAAAATTGATATGTTTATACTTATCCTGACTCATGATCTTTTGCTTATCTCCCTTTCCCTTGCGAATGGTAGTGGAACACTTGAATCCCTTGAAGTTCCCGAAGCGGACGTAAAAATACACTCACCCACGAGTTACCTCCCATTTGCCCTTTCCCGCGCAAACACTCCTGTGACCAGCCTTACTTGTCACTCTCTCCTGATTTTTCTGCCCATGCACTTGGATCTGCTGTGAAATCCGAAGTGTTTCCAGAGGGGAGGTTGGGAGGGCTTCTCGTCATGAGTCAGGATAAGTATAAAAATATCAATTTTACTTGAAAAATTACATTTTTTTTTTTATCCCGACTCATGATCTTTTGCTTATAGAATCGGACGGAATGGTGGCGGGTCAAGCCATTTCGTGGATTCATCAGCTGTCCTTAGATACGTCCTGTATCTGTCTCTGTGGATAATGGGATGAACAGGCGCTTTAATTTCCTTCTCCTCGTCTTAGTCTTTTGAAGATATATCATCAGGGCTCTGACCGTACACAAGGATAAGTCCTCTATATCCTCTGGTCCGAGGATTGTAGATAGCGCTGGTACGTGGAACTGTCTATCTGGCTGACCAGGTAGTTGGTTCTTGGCAGTGAAGTCCCATCTAAGTCCTAGATGAACTGCAGCATGTTGCCCCGTGTCGAATCTGGTTCGACCAAAGTCCTGCGTATGTATCTCTGATATCCGATCTGCCGTGGCTAGCGCAAGCAGGAACAGAGTCTTCTGTGTCAGCAGCTCGAATGTAGTCTGATCTAGAGGTTCGAAGGCATCACTTGTAAGATGACGTAGAATTACATTCAGATCCCAGGCCGGAGCTCTGAACTTCTTTTGCTGGTCCTCCAGTTTAAAAGATCTCAGCAGAGCAAGTAATTCTGGTACTTTCGTCAACTTGATGCCTGTTTTCATGGTAATCACTGTACTGATGGCAGCGAGGTATGTAGATAATGTCGAACCTTTCAGATGTCTGGTTTGTCTAAGATGACACAGGTATTCCGCCACTTGAGGATGAGTAGCTTTCATAGCAATGAAGCCTTTCCGCCTTGCATAAGTCTCAAACTTCAGCCACTTGTCATCATACAGGTTACGAGTAGATCTGCGTAACGCTAGGGTTACTGCCTTGGCTGCCCTGGCGGAGTATCCTCTTTTCTTCAAAACATGTTTTGATACGGTCCACACGTGTAGCTGGAACGCTGTCTGGTTCCCGTGGACTTGCTTGGTGTGCGGATGTATGAGTAGGTTCGGCCAATCTGGTAACTTGATTGTTGGACTTCCGAGATCTTCTATTAGGTCTAGGAACCATACTCTCGGTGGCCAGTATGGCGCGACCAAGGTCAGTTGTAGCGACAGAGTCTGTTTGATCTTCAACAGTACGTTCGGTAGTAATATCAGTGGTGGAAACTCATAAGCGTTTAGTCCTTCCCATGATATGTTCAGTGCATCTGTTGCCCAGGCTTGAGGATCTGGAACTGGTGAGAAAAACGTCTGTAGTTGTTTGTTGAACCTCATGGCAAACAGGTGTATGCATGGGGATCCTATTTCCCTTATGATGAGCCGAAATGCTTCTGGATGGAGCATCCATTCCGTAGGTGACGGGTGCAGTGGTCGGGAGAGAGCGTCTGCAAGCACGTTCTTGGCTTGTATCTTGACCCAATGATCTTCTGGGACCACAATTCGATTCTGTGTTGTGATAATTCTTATTCACAGCAATTGAAGATCTTGTTTGATTCTAACTCCAACTTCATCAGGTTCACTAGCCATCCTAGTTGCGTGAGCAGCTTAATTGTGAAGTTCAGCTATGCTGCTGTCTGAGTTGATTGGCACTTTGAAGAACCTGTATGCCGTTGTCCAGATAACTGGCACTGCGTAGACCTCGATGCTGCAGATAGGTGCCGATAGGCTTGATTATTCGTATGAATAATCATAGAGCCGATGATATTCCAAACGGTAGGATGTTCCATTGGATTCCCATGATGATAACAGGCCGTAGTTGTATACTGTTTCCAAGGCTGCCGATGAAGTATTTCCCCGTACCACGGGTTTGTTTGTAAGTGAGTAAACTTGCTGGGAGGCGTTGTCTGACGTGGACCAATGAGCTTCAAGCATGACGTCACCGGTGTTGTAGCAACTTGGCCTACATAAAATCTGGTGCAATTAGTTGGTTGAGTAAAGCGAGCGTAATTCTACGCCGCTCATATAAACCTCTTGAATAAGGGTTGCTCCAAGTGTTGCGCTGAGTGTCGAGTGTTAACAATATCATCTGTACGTCCGTTCAAGGATTCTTGAAGGCGTTGATAACCTTAAGCCCTTTACAAAGGTCGCCTTGAGGTTCTCCAGTACTTGAGATATCGGCTTCATAGGTGATATCATATTGGAGTCGAAGTCATCAGCGTATATGCAGTACATCTCTGTTGGGTTGGAGTGAGTGAGTGAATGACAATATCCGCAGGCCATCTGCTACCCGGTATAAGACCTCAGCATCCGTGTAGATGAAGGGATTCCTTTCATCAAGTAGGTTGTAGTCCGAAACTGAACCTATTATAGGTGTAAGGTTTGTGCAGGTTGTCGAGTTGTGCAGGCTGTAAACTGTAGAGATCGCACATGTTGTAGATCTTTTTGTTGAGTTATAAACTCTGACAAAACCATCCGTTTTCATCATTGCTTCGTTTTATCCAGCCTTATGGTAATAGAGTCGACGATAACATCCTGCCTGTTGATGTAAGGGTTCGTTAACCCTAGGGTTCGCGAACCCTGTAGATGTCTGCGTTGCTGTTATCTGCCTGTAGATCTAAGAGTTCTCGAATCTTGTAGATGTCTGCAGCTTTCTCAAGCTGTGCGTAGGTTAGAAGGTATCTTGGATATAGGTTCAATCGGAGGAATAGTCACCGAGTCAAAGACGTCATTACGCATCTTATAAGTTTAGACTTCATCTATATCATTAGAAAGAGACTCCAAGTTCAAACCATTGGCTATCCAAGCTGTAACCTCTGAGTCCGGGAAGACGAAGTCTAGTTGTTCATCAGTTATCTCCTGATCGGTAGAGCTATGCCTCCGCGAATCATCCTTCTGTGAACCTGTATCCCTTCGCGAACCTCTGTCTGAAGATTACTTCCTTCGCGAACGTCTATCTTGAGAGTCCTCTCTTCGCGAACCTTTATCTGTGGATTCATCTCTTCGCGAACCTCTGTGATGTGAGCCTTCTCTTTGCCAAGTTCCGTCGCTAGATTATCCCTTCGCGAACCTTGAGTGACTTCGCGAACATCTGTGAGAGATATGAGATCTCGATCTAGAGCGGATAGATGTAGGAGATGGATCCTTCGATGTTCTCGAATGTTGAGGGTTCACAGATGAAGAACGGTGAGTAGGTATCTCATGTCTTCTATCCTCTTCCAAGATGACAGAGTCGTCAGACTGTGGAGACCTTCGCAAAGGTGTACGTTCGCCAACGTAGTCTTGAGACGTAGTTCTATGAGGAGTAGGTTCGCGTAGGTCCGTGGGTTCGTGCAGGTCGGTAGGTTTCGCACGATGTCAGTAGATGAGAGGCTTCGCTGAGCCTTCGCTTCTTCCTCGAACCTACGTTCCATCCTGGCCATCATCTGGTTGGTGAAATGTCTCATAATTTCACCTGGATCAAAGTTTTGCGTTGATTGAAGCTGCTGCTGTGTAGAAGAGCGGTTCGCGAACGCTGATGAGTTGTGTGTCTCGACTTCACTCTGTTGAGAAGTTGGTGGCAGTTCGTCAAACAGCTGGCTTGCTGTGACTGACTGACTGACTGACTGACTGAGTTTAGTTTTACGCCGCTTTTAGCAATATTCCAGCAATATCACGGCGGGGGACACCAGAAATGGGCTTAACACATTGTGCCCATGTGGGGAATCGAACCCGGGCCTTCGGCGTGACGAGCCAACGCTTTAACCACTAGGCTACCCCACCGCCCGCTTGCTGTGACAGTTGCAGGAGACGATCTAGTAGTCGTGGAAGTCGATTGAGTCGCCGATCTCGTAGGTACTTCGGGTAGAAGTAACGGGGGGATCATCTAAACGTCTACTTCATGCAGAGGTAACATCTCTTCGTTGAAGGATTTCTGAAGCGTTGACTTACTAGGCCGCGTAGATTTACCCTCCGATCTGGTAACAGATGTTTTCTTCTGCGATGTAGAAGAAGACGAAGTCTTTTTCTTAGCTTGAGTCGGAGTCAACTGCGTTGTAGCCGATCTCTTCTTGGCCCCCGTACCAGCAGACTGCCCCTGCAACATACTCAACATAGCACCAGTATTATGAATCTCCGCAGTAGCAATCAACATACGGTTTGCAGGCTGATCTCCTGTTATATCAGCCGTAACTTGAGATGAATTCCTCACCCGATCCATGGCACGTCTATAGACATAAGACAAATATTGATTAAATTGTAGATTTGATAAATCAACACAATAAGTACAGCGCAAGCTGGAAGAACATGGTTTTATGCACGAAAGGCATTGGGGGTGAGGATAAGCCACGGATAACCTGTGCCTGCTAACACTGCAAGATTTCATGAAATGTAAACAAAGTTACATTACGATGAAATTATGACACAAATACAAATAATGTTTACAATGTTTTTACATATAATACATAGTAGTTATTGCCAAATCCATACACAGCGTAATTTTGAAGAATAGGACCTAAACAAAAAGGATATAATGCGGTATACGGGACTCCAGTGCTCGCCCAACCATCCGCTTGGGCGAAAAGGGAGACAGTGACAAGTAAGGCTGGTCACATGACTGTTTGCTCGGGAAAGGGCAAAAGGGGGTAACTCGTGGGTGAGTGTATTTTTACGTCCGCTTCGGGAACTTCAAGGGATTCAAGTGTTCCACTACCATTCGCAAGGGAAAGGGAGGTAAGCAAAAAATCATGAGTCAGGATAAGAAAAAATTATTCTTACATTAACCAGTCGATGAAAGAAAAAAATCCCACGAATTTATAAAGAATTGCAGATTTGCAAGCGCTGACCAATCAGAGGGCTTGCTTCGACCACACACCCATTTTTGCGGACATATCGTCATCCATTTGTCAAGATCGTTTAGTTAAGAGGCAAACTCGGGTTTCAACTTGCAGAAATAACAATAAAGAATTGGTAGGTTTCATGATAGGTGATCGACAGGCCAATCATCCATGATTATGTTCACATTAAGTAATAATCGATCACATGCGATGGTAGTGTAGCAATCGGCATACCGAAGTGGGGTGTACCAAAGTGTCCGGCCTTGTCATAATGTATTGTACTGTGTAGCATTTCGAGTCGGGAGTCATCTCAAACATTGAATTATTTTAATCTTTAATCTTCGCAAAGACACGAGGGCCTGTGGATGTATTCACCCTGCGGGAATTGTGTACCAGGAAAATCGGTGAGTAGAAGATCGGCATCAAGTCTTCCGGGTGAACAATCTCCACGGACCCTTTGGTGAGAAGAGATTGAACTGCCTCTGATACCTTCGGCCTGAGTTCTTTTCGGGGTAGTTTATAATTGATGGATGAATGGTTACATTACGGTACATCTTTTATCTAGATTCTGTAACTTGAGATACGTAGGGTTTTGAACTGACCGCCAATTCTGCCAATACCTCATGAGTACTCCACCAATGGTAGAGGATTGTACGGGAACGACTGGGGTGGAAGGCGCCAGTCGTCTGCAACCGTATCCTCAACGACGGGGACGGTACCTGTAGTAAGTCCTGCCTCTGTCGGAATTTCCCCTGGAGTTATCCGATGGTTTACAAAAAGACGAGGTCCGGGAGCTCCTGGCGGTAGTAAACGGCTTCTCTTGAGCCTTCTGATTCAGCTTAAACATGGATTTCGTCTGGAGAGATTTAATCAGCATCTGGACATTGTAGTCTTGTGCAACCTCTTTGCTGACTTGTCGAATAGCACCATCAAAAATGGTCGATGTTGCCCAAGGCTTGCGTAATAACGGCTTAGTGAAGAGATCCGATCAGTTGCATGAGTATAAGAGACCTTGTCGACGTAGGAGAGTGATGCACGCTGAAGTAGAACTCATGTGGTCCGCTGCAAACTCTTGATTCCTTTTCTGAGCCACCATAGCAGATAAAAACATTCTTTCCCGGTCCGACCGCGGGTTACTCAAGGCATTCAGCATCGCTTCGTTGATGGCACGTGACATCACCAAACCAAAGAAGGCCCCCTGGGTTGTAGTATCAAGCTGCGCCAGTTTCTTATCTTCCACTTTATACGACCTGGACTTGGAGTCACTCATCAGGAAGAAGTCATCATCAATCTCAGGTGCTTTAGCAAAGTCGGGATTGAGAAACGGTCTAGGTAGACCCTGGGCTTTGTTAGCCTTTGCGAAGGCGGCCTGAAGAATGGGCAGTGTAGAGATGTCATCCTCCTCCATGCAGCAAGTGTCCGCCGGTGACAAGTTTCTGGTTGGTGATGAAATCGGCAAGCCATTTGCAATCCAAGCGAGTACTTCTTGTCATCCTCCTGCGGGCCATCCTCAGTGGGTGAAGAGACGCCAAAGTCTTCATGGGATTGTTCAAGAACTGATGAGGCGGGAGTCGACTGCATCACCGGTTTATCCAACGTGGAGCGAGGACGCTGTTGTTGTCGAATGGCCATCAGAACTTGCTTGGTAATGTTGGCAACAAAGTCCGGTTGTTGCGTAAAGTTAGGAGCCTGGCCGAAGGGGTAGAGTTGGGAGAAGGGGTAGAGCTGGCAGAAGGGGTAGAGTTGGGCGAAGGCCTCTCCTTCATCCAGGACAGACAGGGCACCAAATGTAACAGTGGAAGACTGCTTCCCGGATGACTTCTTCCCGGTCAGCTGCTTCAACTTCGCAAGCTTCTGTAGAGATGACTCCTCTCGTGTCGTAGATTTTCTCTTCATCCGGTTGGACTTCGTAAATATACCATTATTGACGAGGTCAACAGCAGAATCCCGTACGGGAAACTCATCAGCCGACGTCCCCAGGGAACGAAACAGGAACGAACTCACGTTCAGCCAAGTGCTTGAGGGACTTCTCTTTAGATGAAACAGCAGCCGAAGCCCTAGAGTTTTCCCGCCTTTTCTTGTCTATCTCTTTGCGTTGTAAGGCAAACAGATAATTGGTAAATTCAAGGTCCCCTAGTTGGGCACAAAAGCTACACCTTTTAAGGAAATTACAAGAGTAAGAAATACACGAAGGGCACACAGGGTGTGGGTTGTGAACTCATAGCCTGTATCTGCACAGAGAACACGTTCTCATTAGCCTTCAGCACACTCTCACATACGTTATAAGTTGAAGTTAAGTACAGCCCAGATACGTAAAATAACCCATGTTTATGATGCATAAAGGGTATGGGATAAACAACCTAGCATTAATTTGGATACTGAATAAAATGGATTAACTTGGTTGAATCCTCCCAACCGTCCAGGTGGGCGACAATGGAGAGAGAGACAACGAGCACATGGTCACGTGGGGTGCTGTTGCACGAACGCGGGAAATGAGGCCCTTTTGGGGTGAGCTATTTCTAACTGTTCCAAGGAACATTGACAGAGGTTTCCACTGTACCTCGGGAGAAAGGGAGCGGTAAGCAAATTGCACGAGTCAGGATAAGGACAAATTAAATGTAATGTAAAACCGGGATGACACAATAATGCAATAGTGAAAGTCAACATGATTCCTTTTGAATTGTCTTTATGGAGTGAACTCAGCTGAAGTTGTTTGGGATATAATGAGACGTACTCTCTGTGCCCGCCATGACGAACTGTCGGTGCTGGCTTCCATCTGATAATAGAACAGAGTTAACACTACAATGTTGAATGGTCAACACTACAGTGTTGAATGGTTAACACTACAGTGGTTAACACTACAGTGTTGAATGGTCAAGACTACTTCAAAACTACAGTGTGGAATGGCGAACACTACAGTGTCGAATGGTCAACACTACAATGTTGAATGGTCAACACTACAGTGTTGAATGGTTAACACTACAGTGTTGAATGGTCAAGACTACTTCAAGACTACAGTGTGGAATGGTCAACACTACAGTGTGGAATGGCGAACACTACAGTGTCGAATGGTCAACACTACAGTGTTGAATGGTCAACACTACAGTGTTGAATGGTCAACACTACAGTGTTGAATGGTCAACACTACAGTGTCGAATGGTCAACACTACAGCGTTGAATGGTCAACACTAAACGTTATTTTCGCCGAGATATAGAAGCTTGGGTTTTTTAAAAAAAAGATTCTTCAAGAAACCATTACGTAATAGTAAATTGTTAAGAGATCCTGATCGTGGATAGTTGACTTGGGATTCAACTATGCCTTAACATTGACGTCATATGACGACGTGGCAGAGCTAGATGGAGGGAAGTGGCAAGGGACGTTCACAACGAGCATGGTATTGACATTCGGATGTTGAATCCAGACAGGGGCCAACGACCAATGTTTCCAACCAGCTAGAGGAGGCAACTCTACAGCGACCTTTTAAAACCCCTGCTGGCAGACATGTGTACTCAGGTGACCATATCTTGTATACACATGCAGTCTTTGACGTTTGTTAGTACCGACCCTCTCTAATTGACAGTTATTTCAGTTTATCGTATCCCTGTGAATACGAAACCACGATTACAGGACCCTATCAGCGCTAAGGGGCGCAACTCTGCAAAGCTAAAGAGTTGTTGATGAAACGAGAGAAAGTTTTTGCTAAGACAAGATTCAGAACAAACAGGAATGAAAAGGGAGTTAACACTTTCCGATTATGTTTAAATTAATGAATACAACTGATAGGCTGTTACTGACGTATTTAGCTTTCCAGTTCTGTGGAGATATCTCCAGGTCTACATTGTCTCGTCATGTTTACAATCCCTCCCTGCGGTTAGCATGGTCATGTCCTTAACGTTGAAGTATATCAGAATACGTACACTTCACCTGGATGCCTAGACCGTATCGGAATGTCTGTTTATACTGGTCGAACGTGTAGGTGTTGCCCTCTACTGGTGGGATGCCGCTACTGAAGGTGTAACGGAGGGTCTGAGACTCATCTCCAGGATCAGTTGTCACCGTATAGGCAACACAGGAATTGGCGGGGCTGAGAGACGAAAACCCCAGCCTGTCACCATTGTAGATGATGAATTGTTCCGATTCTGGCAGGGGGATCTGAAAGTTAGACGACGTGATGACGGTGGCGGTATCAAGTGCCGATAGGTTTGACATAAAGTGTTTGTTTCCAAGTCAATAACAAAAGGGAAAAAGAAATATATTTATTTATATCAACACGTTTTGATGACCTTTGCTACAGGTCGATGAAAGTGGGTTGTCAATGGGTGGGTACCTGACTTCATATGCAGAGAGTGAGTGAGTTTAGGTTTAGTTTTAGCAATACTGCAGCAATATCACGGCGGGGGACACCAGAAATGGGCTTCACACATTGTACCCATATGGTGAATCGAACCCGGGTCTTCGGCGTGACGAACGAACGCTTTAAACAATAGGCTACCCCTGCGCCCCGACTTCAAATGCGTGGTAATTACTGCGCCTTGTCAGTCAAAAACGAAGTGGTTGTAACACGCATGCAATGTCAATGTGCTGTACTTATGATGCGACAATCGATTTGAAAATCTTTTGATAAAACAATGACTGGAAACTACTTAATTAACGCATTGGTAGCCCTGTGACACTTACATTGTTAGGCCCCACAGAAGATGAACTGAGATATGTTTCACTAATGAGTTTATACTTGAGATACGACAATCTCCTCCATATCTGTAATTTGATTGGGCAATTGGCTGTAGCCATGGTTACGTAGAACCCTGTGACGACATCAATTGCGAGAGGCAGCCCTTCAAGAACTATTGATGTATATCCACCGTCTGATGGAGTTGATGACGTCACTTTGTAGCCAATGAAATCTGTAAATATTCGAGAACATATAGGGAATGAGTAAAGTTGATGATACCTTAAAGCGACAAGGCTACCCCATCGCCCGTGCTTTGTTATGCGATATTATAGCACATCTTGTTATGAAATATTATAGCACATCTTGTTATGAGATATTATAGCACATCGTAAAGCACATCTTGTTATGAGATATTATAGTACATCTTGTTATGAGATATTATAGCACATCTTATAGCACATCTTGTTATGAGATATTATAGCACATCTTGTTATGAGATATTATAGCACATCTTATAGCACATCTTGTTATGAGATATTATAGTACATCTTGTTATGTGATATTATAGCACATCTTGTTATGAGATATTATAGTACATCTTGTTATGAGATATTATAGCACATCTTGTTATGAGATATTACAGCACATCTTGTTATTAGATATTATAATACATCTTGTTATGACATATTATAATACATCTTGTTCTGAGATATTACAGTACATCTTATAGATATTATAGCACACCTTATGAGATATTATAGCACATCTTGTTATGAGATATTATAGTACATCTTGTTATGTGATATTACAGCACATCTTGTTATGAGATATTATGGTACATCTTATAGATATTATAGCACACTTGTTATGAGATATTATAGCACATCTTGTTATGAGATATTATAGCACATCTTGTTATGTGATATTATAGTACATCTTGTTATGAGATATTATAGTACATCTTGTTATGAGATATTATAGTACATCTTGTTATGAGATATTATAGCACATCTTGTTATGAGATATTATGGTACATCTTGTTATGAGATATTATGGTACATGTTATGTGATATTATAGTACATCTTGTTATGTGATATTATAGTACATCTTGTTATGAGATATTATAGTACATCTTGTTATGAGATATTATAGTACATCTTGTTATGAGATATTATAGCACATCTTGTTATGAGATATTATGGTACATCTTGTTATGAGATATTATAGTACATCTTGTTATGAGATATTATAGTACATCTTGTTATGTGATATTATGGTACATGTTGTTATGTGATATTATAGTACATCTTGTTATGAGATATTACAGTACATCTTATTATGAGATATTATAGTACATCTTGTTATGAGATATTATAGCACATCTAGTTGTTAGATATTATGGTACATCTTGTTATGAGATATTATGGTACTTCTTGTTATGTGATATTATGGTCCTTTTTGTTATGTGATATTATGGTACATCTTGTTATGAGATATTATAGTACATCTTGTTATGAGATATTATAGCACATCTTGTTATGAGATATTATAGCACACCTTGTTATGAGATATTATAGCACATCTTGTTGTTAGAAATTATGGTACATGTTGTTATGTGATATTATAGTACATCTTGTTATGTGATATTATGGTACATCTTGTTATGAGATATTATGGTACATCTTGTTATGTGATATTATAGTACATCTTGTTATGTGATATTATAGCACATCTTGTTATGTGATATTATGGTACATGTTGTTATGTGATATTATAGTACATCTTGTTATGAGATATTACAGTACATCTTATTATGAGATATTATAGTACATCTTGTTATGAGATATTATAGCACATCTAGTTGTTAGATATTATGGTACATCTTGTTATGAGATATTATGGTACTTCTTGTTATGTGATATTATGGTACTTCTTGTTATGTGATATTATGGTACATCTTGTTATGAGATATTATAGTACATCTTGTTATGAGATATTATAGCACATCTTGTTATGTGATATTATGGTACATGTTGTTATGTGATATTATAGCACATCTTGTTATGTGATATTATAGTACATCTTGTTATGAGATATTATAGTACATCTTGTTATGTGATATTATGGTACATGTTGTTATGTGATATTATAGTACATCTTGTTATGTGATATTATGGTACATGTTGTTATGTGATATTATGGTACATCTTGTTATGAGATATTATAGTACATCTTGTTATGTGACATTATAGTACATCTTATTATGAGATATTATAGTACATCTTGTTATGAGATATTATAGCACATCTAGTTGTTAGATATTATGGTACATCTTGTTATGTGATATTATAGTACATCTTGTTATGTGATATTATAGTACATCTTGTTATGTGATATTATAGTACATCTTGTTATGTGATATTATGGTACATGTTGTTATGTGATATTATAGCACATCTTGTTATGTGATATTATAGTACATCTTGTTATGAGATATTATGGTACATCTTGTTATGTGATATTATAGCACATCTTGTCATGTGGTATTATTGTACATCTTGTTATGTGATATTATAGTACATCTTGTTATGAGATATTATAGTACATCTTGTTATGAGATATTATAGTACATCTTGTTATGTGATATTATGGTACGTCTTCGCCGTGACGAGCGAACGCTTTAACCACTAAGATACCCCACCGCCCCCGAGACATGGAGGCATGTTTTCTTGAAAGTGGATACAGACATCGCCCCTACCTGTGCTGGCCACACTGACCAGTGATAACATCAACACGATCCATAGAGGGTGTAGCTCCATGCCGGCCTGTCAAACAGAAGACATGGTGTTGGCAAAAGAAACTAATCCTACATTTTTAAGTCATACATGGAGAAGCGATATGGCGACAGTAATGCACAAACATGTATGTTGCTCTTCAAAATTATGTCTCTTTCACGCAGTACCAAGCAGATATGAAACTAATATGAGCTTCTATAATTCAGTTATGGGACAGATTTCATCCCTGCTCAAAATGGTGCTGTTTCAGCAGCCTAACCCTACATAAATGAAATCATAATACATGTAGACAAGGGGTGTGATTTGTCAAACAAAGGCAAGTTTTAGGAACGCAGGTTCGATGACCCCATCGTAATCATCGCCCATGTGTATTTCCCTTCCCTCGAAACCATCAGGTTTATACATGACGAACCCCCTGTGATTTCCCCAAGTTAGGGCTACGGACATCGGAGGATCGACAGTTGATGAAGAGATATGTCCTAACTGACTTGAAATAAGTATACGATTATATAAATACTGATAGTCTGCAAATCACTCACTCAGCTTCTGTTTGGAGAGCAACGCACATTTACCAATCCAAGTTGGGTGAAATGTAATCATGTGTGTCACGTGTCAAGAATGACAATCTCAAGAAAAGCGTGCATCACTGAGACACGCTAACGCCCATCAGATTGTCGTGTCGGGGGCCATGGTTGACGAAGCGCTCGTACAATCACACCTCAACGCCGGAAAGGTGAACATACAGGGCGATAAGCATACGATTAATTAATCCAGGGGCGGATCCAGAGAGGGGGGCGGTGATGCTACCCTCGATCTCCCCAACGTTTGGACTTCTTGGTTAATGTGCATCCACCCCTCTTCTCCAAAATCCCTGGTCCGCCCCGTAATCATTAACTACACGGGATAACTTTGGGTCATTTCCTGCAGAGGGAACTGTGGCTCATTGGACCAGACCCTTGCAGCCCCATGTCCTATCTTTCTCTGATACCCAAGTCCATTATTTTCCCATTTTGTTTATTACTTGACTTCAAAACGTTTTGCGTTTATAGATATATATACTCTCCCAAAAAAGAAACGCATATAGGAATTTCAACTGTATTTTTATGTTTATTTTGAAACATCTTGTAGGCTTTATGAGTCAATGAAATATAGCGAAATTGCTGAAGTGTCTGGGGCTGAGGGTTACGGCGTCGCACCCGTCTGTCCAGGGCATCCCACAGATGTTCGATCGGGTTTAAGTCCGGTGATCTTGAGGGCCAGGGGAGCACATTGATGTTGTGGTTCTGGAGGAAGTCTCTAGTGTGACGTGCTGTGTGGGGCCTGGCATTGTCCTGTTGAAACAACTCCCTCTGGCGATCAGGTGTGTGATCTGAAGGAGGTGTGGGCGTAGGATTTCGTCACAGTACCGTTGAGCTGTCAGGTTGCCCTTGATCATCACCAAATCACTTCTCCTACGGCAGGTGATCCCTCCCCACATCATAACACATCCCCGGCCGAATCTGTCCACCTGGGCAACGCAAGCGTCGGCGAAACGTTCACGTCGACGTCTGTACACCCGCATTCTTCCATCGCGTCGTTCCAATAGAAATCGTGATTCATCACTGAACCAGATTCTACGCCAATTCGGTAGGTTCCAGGCCTGAACGTCGGTGCACCATTGAACTCGATGTCGATGATGTTGTTGTCGAAGCACAGGGCCAAGGTCTTCTGGCACGTAAACCAGCCTCTCTCAACCTGTTCCTGACGGTCTGTGCAGAAAGCCGCCCCAATCCGGGTATTTGTCGAGCGGTACTGGTCGCCGTAGCTGTTCGATGACGCAGGTGATGTACCCGGATGTAGCAATCCTGCGCCGCAGTGGTCGCTCGACGTCGCCCACTATGAGGGGCATCTGCTACCGCATTCTGCCGGCGATATCTCTCCCAGAGCCGTGAAATGGTGCTTTGGTGAACATTCATGCGTCGGGCAACTGCACGTTGAGACTGGCCAGCTTCAAGCAAACCAATGGCGATATGACGGTTGGCTTCAGTTGGATGTGGCATTTTGCGTTCGTCAACAATATTCCAAATACAGTGAATAATCGACAGACAGCGATCAACCTTTTATACCCATCATTGAGACTATCTGATCCCCAACTTTCACGTGCATTGCATGTGAATTGTGTATTCTGTGACACTACACGCCGAAATTGAAAATCATGCTGTTAAATACGGGTATTTTACGGATGGTGCGTTTTGTTGTGATGTTTCAAAACATAAACACCATAGGACTCATAAACAGAGCAAAACCTTTTGTAAAATGAACCACGTTTTAATTCATTGCTACATGAAATTGCTATTTTCATGATGCGTTTCTTTTTTGGGAGAGTATTTTATTGACAAACATTTAATTCTTTGAATGGTGCGCACGACCTTTTTCATATTTCTGTTTCCAATCAGAGCATTATAATTGTCAAAACCTCAATGTTTTCAAATATTCAGATCCCATTTCTAAATGGCTAACCTTCTTAGCCATTCCGATATTAAATACCCTATTTTAGCACCAGAATAGTTTCCGTTTAATATCCTAACCGCATAAACGAAATAAGTGCGTATATTAATACTGTATGGTAATGAGATTGGGAGCTATTTTATCTTGTTATCCCCAGGAAATGTTTAATCTTCTGAATGTAGTCCTATTTTCTCTCTCTCGTTTGTTCACACAAGATTACTACCGCCTCCACAGATCAGCTCGGTGTGGGTAGCCCCAGTGAAACGGGAAACTGGAAATACCCAGCGGCGTAATGTCGTCCACGTGAATACTCTGTACAGCAGCTGACGTATCTAAGTATCTGTGCTTGCAGAGGCCATACATGTGGTCTCTGGTGCTGGTAATGTCGCTGCAAGGAGTTGTATGATGTGCGGAGACCTTAATCGGTTGGTCAGCGGAGGTTCCGGAATGAGAGGAAGTTTTCTTATCCGCCTCTGGATATCCGGTCATTCTGTGTCTGGGGCCATATGGCACTACTGATAATGATGCCACGATTCCTTGTATCTAATGAGAGACATTTACCATTCAGCATCTGTAATGACTCTGTTACACGTTGCAAGAAGGTCAGGGTGGATTCAACAGAAGGTAGATGAGATATCAATGAATATATGATACACCTGTTCGGACAAAATGAACGAATAGTTTACATGCCCTAAATATGATAGACCATATGAAATCACTTCCCTGTTTATTTTCTACGAGACAAAACGACCCGACCTGTCACATTACAAGTTCATCTGTCATTACATAACTTCAGTGAAGTGACATGAAGGAACCGGGCGACCCTTAACTCTTTTGAGCAGTATGCGTCAGAGACCACACGCTGATTGGTTGATGTTCTCTGTATGCGATGTGTGTCTAACGGCGGACTCTGGATGGCCTGGACGTGTAACAGTATATTCCAAGGACAGTGTCCTTCAGTCATGCTAGCAGCCTATGAGGCTGAGCTCGAATCCCGGTTCACTCTGAGTGTTTCTAGGTTTGCCAGCAGGACCAGCGCTATATCAGCACTATATCAGCACTATATCAACACTATATCAGAGCTATATCAGCACTATATCAACACTATATCAGAGCTATATCAGCACTATATCAGCGCTATATCAGCACTATATCAGCGCTGTATCAGCGCTATATCAGCGCTGTATCAGCGCTATATCAGCGCTATATCAGCGCTATATCAGTGCTATATCAGCGCTATATCAGTGCTATATCAGCGCTATATCAGTGCTATATCAGCACTATATCAACACTATATCAGAGCTATATCAGCACTATATCAACACTATATCAGAGCTATATCAGCACTATATCAACACTATATCAGAGCTATATCAGCACTATATCAACACTATATCAGCACTATATCAGCGCTATATCAGCGCTATATCAGCGCTATATCAGCGCTGTATCAGCGCTATATCAGCGTTATATCAGTGCTATATCAGCGCTATATCAGTGCTATATCAGCGCTATGGTTTTTTACCAAAATGGTACGTCTGAGATCAGCATCTCATCTTGTTCGCTCACATGACGCACCATAATACAACTGTTCAAAACGGCGGTCACCTCACTAACACACCTCCGTGCAACTCTGGTGTCGGACCGGGGATCAGAACAACATGAAGATCATACGTCAGGGAGTACTGCCACATTATACAATCATGTAATTGTCATAGATTTCTTGTAGCATTAGTCTTGTTCGGATGCAGTTCGCATCGATAGCGATAAGTGTACAATTAGAACTATTCCAAGACAGGAAGTGTAAACCGTTCTTGTTAGGCTATACAGGATACTAGTAGATGTGAGATTGAAATCATTTCTGTATTTACTCTTTTCTTAAGTTAAAACCATGATGATGACATTATGCTTTTGTTGTTACATTGGATTCTGAGCCAAGAATGCATAGGCAATTTTTACAAAATATAGCTGACATAACCATAGTTTATTACTAATATTATTAATAAATTATATATCAACCAGAACATGGCTTAAGAAGTCAGTCCCATCCGTTTAGCCCGAACGTGCGAGATGACTTTAATGGCGGAATCAACAGATTCTCATGATTTCTCCCTAACGTCTGAACTCTGTCCTCAAAACAGGGATAATCCATAATCATTGAAGCCCGCCAATATTTGACCGGTCACATGTAAAGCGAAGTTGTCAATTTGCCCGTTCAGCAAACTCCAAATGTTATGATCAAATTGGCCGGCTTTGATTGCTGCATTTCTCTGGTTTGTACTGTTAAACATACCTTTTCGGACATTTGGCGAATTGTCTTAACAACTCAGGCAAGAAATCATATCTATCGCTTTAAGTCGCTTTAACTACTTGCAATTGATATGATATTCATTACCAACGTCGCAACGATCACGTAAAGTACATTTCGTTTCATTACATGCACAGGCCCCCACTGCGGGTCAGAAAATCGATAAACTAGGCCCCGGTTTAGTATCAACACCACTACTATAATATACATAAAGTTTCATCACAGAAATACGGTGACATGATCGAAAACCGGACAATTACGCACATATCAATGAATATATCGTATTTTAAAGGTCTCACAAGTATCAAAAGCTTTTGTCCATATCTCCGATGTATGTAGGAGGCATATACATGCGCTTTCCGTGGGGATGCATTTGATGGGTTTTATTAAATCGCCAAAGACCGAGTTGCTGTGCCGGAAGTATACAAAACTAGCTCGTCAGCGCTTGACTTCACTACCTCCGGCGATCTGATTGGCTAACACATTACACTGACTGAATGTGTTTCTTTCAAAAATATTTATACTCGTTTTTAAAATTATTCTTACCAAGAACAAACATCAGATAGGGACATCTTGGATGATAGACGTTTGAGTTTCCCTCTCATTTTCGCACGTGCATTTGTTGTCATTTTATTAACCAATTTGATTGCGGTGACGACCTAGTTTTCTACACTTCCGGCACAGCAACTCGGTCTTTGGCGATTTAATAAAACCCATCAAATGCATCCCCACGGAAAGCGCATGTATATGCCTCCTACATACATCGGAGATATGGACAAAAGCTTTTGATACTTGTGAGACCTTTAAAATAC